GCAAGGCATTCTTGTTGCGATAATTGTCTCTGAAAGTTGTAATAAATTATGGCGCGAAAATGTTCTCGGTTGAGTTCCATTTTCCTAACGACTTAGTGATACTTAAAAATTCACTGTAGTGAGAACACTGCACCTATTGTTGTGAAACTTTGAATTTAAGTTTACTAAAGAGTGAGGTTAAGATTCAGTACTGTACGTTCGATCCGCGCGGCCTACTATGGTTCTATATGCAAAACTTAAAAGACATCCCTCGTAAAAGCTTATAAATAGTAAAATGAGCGTTTTGTAATCAAGCCGATCTTCACGAACTCTTCAAAACTGAGGCTATAACATTTCTCGCAATACTGGAGTAAAAATAACATTTGATTGACGTCAGTTAATGAACACAGCTGCTTCGAGGTGACATTTTTGAATGACCCAAATTAAACGAATTTGAAAATAGATCTGCTAAAAAGCATTAATCATGCAATATAGGTAGATGACACATGACCACATCGACAAACTACACTAACCTTCGGTGTAGTTTTAAATATATTTATGTATTCCCATAGACAGAGAAGGCCTTGATAAATGATACACTTTCCTACAAAAAGCTTAATGTTTTATACTCTTAGCATTCAACCTTTCCGATTCCCATGGAGGACATATGTACGAGCCCCTTCCCACTTCAGTTGGCCCAACTGTTGAAATCTTAGTTTTTTTCTTATCAAACACAAATAATAAAAATGTAGCAGGGTGTTATAGCTTTAAAATATCAACAATGAATATTTTGATAATATATAGTAGAAAACACCAACTTTATCACTCCCTTGCAGCATAAAAACACATGTTGCAATTACAGCATATCAACCTATTTTCATTTCAATGCAAAGTAAGTCTATAACGCATAGGTGGCTGTGAAAAATAAAAGCCATGACAATTGTTTTCATTAATCACAGCTGTCAGAATACGTTTAAAATAGTTTTGGGTAGTTAAGGTTTTCAAAATGGGTAGAGGAAAGGTTATTTGTGAGAAAATTCGGTTACTGATAAGTAAATTTTTTAATTCTGGGAAATCAAACTCAGAAATTGCAACTTTGTTGAACTTATCGCGGCACAGTGTGAGAAATATTGTTAGAAGATATAACGTAACTGGTTCAGTTAATATTAAGCCACGATATGTGAAAAAAAGTAATATCACAAATGCCGACCGAAGAACATTAAGAAGAATAATCTTGAAAAACAGGCGTGCCAATTATTTACAATTAAGTGCTCTGTGGAGTGACGCTGTTGGAAGGAGAATTTCGAGGTCCAAAACTCATAGAGAGGCACACAAACTGGGATTTAGCACTTGCAAGGTAAGTTTTCTTATAAAAAAGTGAAGTATAAACCCTAAAGTTGCACAACTTGTTTATAGGCCAAAGAAAAGCCACTATTAACTCCACTGCAAAAGAAAAATCGGCTTAGATGGGCTAAAGAACACAGACAATGCACACCTCAAGTTTCTGCTGGTGACAGTCGCAGTAGAGTTATTCGCAAAAAAATGAAGTCTTCCATGTTGACTGTCTGAAGAGAAAAGTGAAATTTCCAGCATCCATTATGGTCTGGGGCAGTATGTCATCAAAAGGAGTAGGAAAACTTCATTTTATTGATGGAAATGTGGATACAAACAAATATTTGGCAATTTTAGAAGGATCGCTTTTACCAGTGATGGAAGAATGTTTGACATCCGGCCAAGATTTTGTGTTTCAGCAAGATGGTGCAGCGTGCCATACCTCAAAAAAGGCTATAAAATGGATGGAAGAAAATAATGTACCACTTGCGAAATGGATTTCTAGCAGTCCAGATCTGTCACCTATTGAAACTTTGTGGCACGAGATGAAAAAGGTTCTACGACAACATCCTGTTCGTACAATCACCGAACTGAGACAAAACCTTCAAGAAATATGGGATTGTTTTACAGCAAATTTTTGCCAAACCTTGGTTAACACTATGCCCCAAAGAATTTCAGCCGTAATAAAAAATAAAAGTGTTGTTACCCAATGGTAACACTGGACAACAAATTTTAGTTTTTTAATTGTATCTTGTGGGAAAAGTGCACTTCTTTGTTAATTTTGGGGCGCTGAATCCAAAAATGACGATGAAATAAAAAAATTAGTTGCGGTTTAGAAAAAAAAACTTTTTATTTTTAAGGATTTATTAAAAAAAGTAACAAGATTCATATACTTATAAGAATCACTATATGTGCTGTCTTTTTGCTGTTCTTTTATGGATCGTTTCTGGAGCATCTCTACCAAGAGTCCAACAGTAGTCTGCAAGCATGGAAGGATTCCACTTTCCCTGGTACCTTTTTTCCATTGTTGAAATATGCTGATGAAAACGTTCGCCGTGCACATCACTTACGGCTCCGCAATTGTCAGGAAAAAAGTCCAGGTGTGAGTGTAGGAAATGTATCTTAAGAGACATATTACAGCCCATCTTTTGATACGATGACAGCATATTTTTGACAAGGGTTTTATAGTTGTCAGCTTTTCTATTTCCCAAGAAATTAGTGACCACCAGACGGAAATCATTCCAAGCAGTTTTTTCAATACCTGTTAAAGTGTTTTCAAACTGTGTATCTTTCAAAATATTTCGAATCTGTGACCCAACAAAAATACCTTCTCTAACCTTTGCCTCACTTAGTCTTGGAAATTTCTGACGCAGGTATTGAAAAGCTGACCCATCTCTATCTAATGCCTTGACAAAATTTTTCATTAGGCCCAACTTGATATGCAGTGGTGGTAATAAATTTTTTTTCGAATCTACTAATGGCATATGCTGTACATTTTTTTGACCTGGCTCTAGGAATTGACGAACAGGAGAGTTTTGTCTGGTGTAATGAAGTGCCTTTGCCCGACTGTCCCATTCACACAAAAAACAGCAAAACTTTGTGTAGCCTAGCTGCAGCCCAAGTAAAAGTGCAACAACTTTCAAATCGCCACAAATATGCCATTTGTGCTCATCGTAATTTATGCATGTCAATAGGTACTTCATATTGTCATATGATTCTTCGATGTGAACTGCATACCCTACAGGAAGAGATGGTAAAATATTTCCGATATGCAATAACACTGCCTTTAAACTCAATGTTGAACTGTCTATAAACAATCTCCATTCTTCTGGCTTATAGTTTATATTTAAAGCCGCCAGTAAGCCGTTAATGTTACTGCAGAAAACCAAGTTTTTCTCCATGTTGAAAAATGGTTCTAAGTCTTTGTGGCGTTTACGAAAAACACATACCGAAGCATCGTCTTCTAACAAGTTCCACTGCTGCAGTCTTGATCCAAGTAACTCTGCCTTACATTTTGGAAGTTCTAAATCTCTTACAAGATTATTTAATTCTGACTGTGTTATTTTGTGCGGTTGGTGGCATGACGTGCTCGGTATAAAATCAGGATCTCTTGACGTTGATGGCATATCTTCTTCCTGACGAATCACTCTATCGCCATGATCTGATTCGTTTTCTGATTCGCAAGTGTAGGATTCTGAGGGTTTTGGAATAGGATTTTCGTCACTGTGAGGCACAGGTCTCATCGCAGATGGTATGTTTGGGTAGTTAATAACCGATTTTTTTTTCTTGGACATACCTGTGGCTTGTCCAACACAAGGTACCATGCAAAAGTAACAATCATTGATATGATTTGTAGGCTCTCTCCAAAGCATTGGGACAGCAAAGCGCATAGACCGTTTTTTGCCATTTAACCAGCTCCTCAGACTTGAAGCACATGTATTACAGCAGATGTGGGGTGCCCACTGTTTGTCTTGATCACCTAGTTTACAACCGAAATAAAGCTGATATGCCTTTGTTATTAGTGGAGTAATAGACCGTCTCTGAGACGCAAAAGTCACATCACCACACACGTAACAAAACTGATCTGGATTGTTTACACACTTTCGAGACATCTTGCATGAACGCTGTCAGCCAACTGGGGAAAAAATGGCTAATATAAAACAATATAATGTACACGTATGTTTAACGTAACACAATCATGCCGATTACATCATCTTTCCTTGCCGAATATAAAAATGTAGCACGTGCATTCTTGTGAATTACAGTATATTAACACTGTCACAGCAGGAACACATAAATACCGTATCTCTAAAACTTGAACTAATATTGAAAAAATAAGTTTCATTCCGGTTTTAGCACATTAGAAATAGTAATATTTTGTTGATTTTATTTAGGATATTTTTTGGCTGTTGATCAGTGTAATCTTTCAATTGTTGCTTTGTTAACTTTGCGCATTTATTCGCAAATTGTTTATTTGTTCAGATGTTCTATTAGTTATAGGTCTAAGTGATTTGAAATATGAATTTTTTACGACTAGAGTGTATCTAAAATGTTTTTGAGAAAATAAATTGTTTAGAAGTAAATAGTTTCGTCATGTTTAGTTTATAAAAGCATATTTTGGTACAAATCTTAAAGTGGGCCAACTGAAGTGAAAAGGGGCTCGTATGTTTATTCTGGTCTGTAAGCATCTCAACCAGAAGACTGAGCGACCCTGTACTTTTAGGATTAGACAAAATACGAGTCAAAATTAAAGGAGCAAGAAAATAAATGAAATTCTTCGGTGATTTTTTGAGAGGCTGTATTTCAGTGAAAAAATGGTGGTATCTAGACTTTACAAAAGGCATTTTGAAGCTTTAAGATTCTAATTTTCTAACTTGTTAGCCGAACATTTTTAGGGGCAACGGTTCTCATGCAATTTTAACAAAACAAAAAGTTTTGCCAATTTTTTTACATCTTTTTAGTTGTTCCTAAGAATTTTCGACTATAAAACCTGAAAACTAAAATCTTAGAGCTTCAGAATGCTTTTTTTTAAGTCTCGTTACGACAAAGGTCACCGAAAATTTTAGTTTTTTTGAGTAGTGTCTCCATGAAATTTCATAATAATTTGAGGACAATATTCGAATTCAGCACCTCAAATTCCCGTATCGTTCGCAGGACCGGGTTCGTAACAGAATTATTTTTTTTTGCAGGGCAATGTTAAGTGGAATTATCTTGGTAGTGTTTATTATGTGTTACTGCTGTCACAGAACAAACAGAAAATCGCAATCAAATCTACCGACTTACTGGAGAGATCCAGGCCTATCCATGGAAATCTACACGGTAGAAGCAGCTCAAAATGTAAGTAGACAAACAGACACATATTCAAATTGTAATCTCATCAGAGGTGATAGAAATATACTCGTACATCCGTCGTTGGACATTATTTAGTCTCATTTGTTTTAGGCGAAAATATCCCTGGTTTGCGAAATAATTATAAAGTCTGACTTTATTGATGCAAGTTGTTCGATGTGATATTTAAAGCATGGACGCATTTGACCAATTTTGGTGGGAAAACTTTTTATTCGATAACAAAGAATGAGATAACGTGTTTTTCTTATTCAATCGAAAGTGTTGGCAGGAACGAAAAAACTCTTCAGATAAGAATTTTAGGTATTTATGAGACCTTCAAAATGAGACCACACGTAAAAAGATCCCAAATGCAGTTTTTTGCACTTATTGCTAATGAGACGAACATTTCACGCAAATACTTGAAATTTTTCATACTTCTAAATAACCACAACAAAATTGGAGTCGATTGGTCAAGTCGTTTTTGAGAATGTCTAAGTGTTTATCCCAAAACATCTGCCTTCCGGCCATCACTACTAATTTATTCAGCAGGGTTCTTTCAAAGCGCTTTTATAGCAAAATACACGACTTTAGCTTGCCGACACGAATCACAAGCCATTTTGGAAGATAATTGTTATTTTTATGCGAAAAACGAAGAGTTACGATTTTTCTCTTAATAAATTCAAACATTTCGTATTTGTGAATAATTGAACAGATTCGCTACTAGAAAAAATTTTTTTCAAGATTTCTTCATACTCTTGTGTATATTTGTACATATTTAGAGCTGAAATTTTTACACGGTGACAAATAAGCCTTGAAGATTATAAAAAAATTATTTCTTACTGAAATGCGTTGAACTGTTTATGAATTTGGCACGCAAACTGAAGACACAATTATGTTTCAAACTGTCTTAGATAAGTTAGTATGTAGCATGTGCTAAATGGTTGCATGACTTTGTCAAATAAGTGGGTCACGTAATCTCTTTACGAAGAAATGTAATTCCCTGGACCTTTTTCATCTAAAAGTATTAATTAAAACGACTGCTAGTTCAAAATGTTGGAAAATAAACTAGAGAAAACGAAAAATTAGGAGACAAATATCAATCAACTGACCGTCTGAAAAATTATGCAAAATGCTCGGTATTAGTCCTTAATACATTATTCAAAGTTTCTGCATTGTATCTTGTATAGTTTTTAATTGTTTATAACAGATTTGATAATTATGCTCCAATGTTCGGTTGACATTTGCAGAGTCAAGTATAGTGGTATAAACATAGAGGCATCGTAGTAATGGGTGATTTTTTTGCTAGTATCTTTTTGGCAACACTGTTTTTGACAGATGACGCGTGAATCGTGTCTTGTGTCATTGTCAAACTTGTTCAGTTTGGTCTATAATTTAACCATGAATCGACTTACGAACGAACAACGCTTGCAAATTATTGAATTTTACTATCAAAATGCATGCTCGGTTAAGAGAGTGCATCGAGCACTGCTTCCAATTTATGGGCAATTTGGTCGGCCTACTGAGGGAGCTATTCGGAAGCTTGTGACAAAATTGTGAACCCAGTTTACATTATTGGACATTAAACCACCAACACGCAGACGTAGAGTGAGGACTGAAGAAAATATTGCGGCTGTATCCGCCAGTGTTAGTGATGATCGTGAAATGTCGATTCGCCGCCGTTCGCAGCTGTTACTCCACTACGTGGAAAATTTTGCGACAGGATTTGGGTGTAAAACCTTATAAGATAAGAAATGAAGCCACACGACCTCCCACAACGTTTCCAATTTGGTGAATGGGCGCTGGCAAAGTTGGAGGAAGATCCACATTTTTATCGAAAAATTGTGTTCAGCGCCGAAGCTCATTTCTGGTTGAATGGGTACGTTAACAAGCAAAATTGCCGCATCTGGAGTGAAGACCAGCCAGAAGCATTGCAAGAGCTACCAATGCATCCCGAAAAAATCACTGTTTGGTGTAGATTATGGGCCGGTGGCATCATCGGGCCGTACTTCTTCAAAGACGACAATGGCCGGAACGTAACTGTGAATGGCGAGCGCTACCGTGCGATGATAACAATTTTTTTTGCCCAAAATGGAAGAGCTGGACTTGACTGACATGTGGTTTCAAGAAGACGGTGCCACATGCCACACCGCACAGGAAACAATGGCCCTATTGAGAGACGAGTTCGGTGAACAGTTTATCTCCGTTTGGGGCCCGTCAATTGGCCGCCTAGATCGTCTGATTTAACGCCGTTGGACTATTTCTTGTGGGGCCATGTTAAGGCTAATGTCTACAGGGATAAACCAGCAACGATTGACGCACTGGAAGCCAATATTGAAGCATTTATTCGTGAGAGACCGGCCGATATGTTGGAGAGAGTGTGCCAAAATTGGACCTTGCGCATGGGCCATCTAAAGCGGAGCCGCGGCCAACATTTATATGAAATAATCTTTGAACATTAAATTATATCGACCGTTCTATCGAGTCAAATAAAGATTTAATCCTTTTTTCAAATTTTTTGTGTTTTTTTGAAAATCAAATCCTATATCTCTTAAAAAATCACCCGTTATAATGGGAAGGAATAACGATTGCAGAACCGCAGGACGGAGGTTAATCTTATTTAAAGAGCTTTTTCGTTTTCTGATTCTTTGTTGAAAAATACAAACTTTTCCCACAAAAATTGGTGTACTCATTTTATGCGTCCATGTTTTAAATACCCCCTTGAACAATTTGCATCTATAAAACCAGACTTTACACTTATTTCGGGGAAATTTGCCAATCTGATTAGACTAATTTGACATTTTTTAGCTTTTTGTCTAAAAGTGAGCGTCATATTTTCTTTTTGTCCAAAAATGAGCGTCATATTTTTCATAAACATATTGCAATCTCGGAAGTTTCTTGATGAAAGCACACATTATACTATCGCTCTAGCACACAACCTTTTCCCGCATCGTCAGAATTGCGCTTAAACTGCTTCTATATTCTTCAAAGCTCATCCATGCAAAATATCAACCCGATAAACTTAATTCCACTTCTATGGAATCTGCATTCAATAAGCGATATTGAATGGCGCGTTGCATACTTCAGAATTTCAAAACGTAAATAAAATTTCCCAGTAAGTCGAAAATCTGCATCGACTGATTAGGTCCAGTGCCAAGGACTGCATTTGAGCAATATCAAAATGGTGGATTTAGACAGAATTAGCCGAATTTTAGACCGCAGAAAAAGCGTCAAGTATATTGACCCTATACGAGCCCCTTCCCACTTCAGTTGGCCCACTTCAAGATTTGTACCAAAATATGCCTTTATAAACTAAACATGACGAAACTATTTACTTCTAAAACAATTTATTTTCTCAAAAACATTTTAGATACACTCTAGTCGTAAAACATATATATTTGAAATCACTTAGACCTATAACTAACAGAACATCTAAACAAATAAACAATGTGCGAATAAATACGCGAAGTTAACAAAGCAACAATTGGAAGATTACCATTGGGTAACATCACCTTTATTTTTTATTACGGCTGAAATTCTTTGGAGCATAGCGTTAATCAAGTTTTGGCAAAAATTTGGTGTAAAACAATCCCATATTTCTTGAAGCTTTTGTCTCAGTTCGGTGATTGTACGAGCAGGATGTTGTCGTAGAACCTTTTTCATCTCGTGCCACAAAGTTTCAATAGGTGACAGATCTGGACTACTAGAAACACATTTCAAAAGTGGTACATTATTTTCTTCCATCCATTTTATAACCTTTTTTGAGGTATGGCACGCTGCATCATCTTGCTGAAACACAAAATCTTGGCCGGACGTCAAACATTCTTCCAACACTGGTAAAAGCGATTCTTCTAAAATTGCCAAATATTTGTTTGTATCCACATTTCCATCAATAAAATGAAGTTTTCCTACTCCTTTTGATGACATACTGCCCCAGACCATAATGGATGCTGGAAATTTCACTTTTCTCTTCAGACAGTCAACATGGAATGCTTCATTTTTTTTTGCGAATAACTCTACTGCGACTGTCACCAACACAAACTTCGAATCGGGCCTCATCACTCCATTGTATTGCACATCATTGTTGAGGTGTCCATCGTCTATGTTCTTTAGCCCATCTAAGCCGATTTTTCTTTTGCAGTGGAGTTAATAGTGGCTTTTTTTTGGCCTATAAACAAGTTGTGCAACTTTATGGTGTTTACTTCACTTTTTTTATAAGAAAACTTACCTTGCAAGTGCTAAATCCCAGTTTGTGGGTCTCTCTATGAGTTGTGGGCCTCGAAATTCTCCTTCCATCAGCGTCACTCCAAAGAGCACTTAATTGTAAATAATTGGCACGCCTGTTTTTCACGATTATTCTTCTTAATGCTGTTCGGTTAGCATTTGTGATATTACTTTTTTCACATATCGTGGCTTAATATTAACTGCACCAGTTACGTTATATCTTCTAACAATATTTCTCACACTGTACCGCGATAAGTCTAACAAAGTTGCAATTTCTGAGTTTGATTTCCCAGAATTAAAAAATTTAATTATCAGTAACCGAATTTTCTCACTAATAACCTTTCCTCTACCCATTTTGAAAACCTTAACTACCCAAAACTATTTTAAACGTATTCTGACAGCTGTGATTAATAAAAACAATTGTCATGGCTTTTATTTTCCACAGCCACCTATGCGTTATAGACTTATTTTGCATTGAAATGAAAATAGGTTGATATGCTGTAATTGCAACATGTTATATTTTTATGCTGCAAATTTGATTAGGGAGTGATAAAGTGGGTGTTTTCTACTATATATTATCAAAATATTCATTGTTAATATTTTAAACCTATAATACCCTGCTACATTTTTATTATTTGTGTTTGATAAGAAAAAACTAAGATTTCAATAGTTGGGCCAACTGAAGTGGGAAGGGGCTCGTACTTGCTACGCCTTCGTTGAAGGTTTAAAAAAGAGATGAGTCAAATTGTTTCAAAAGTCGAAATCGAATCGTGATTAGGTATGTGAAAAAACGAAATTTGAGCGATTTTTATTCTTTTCGCGATTTTGCTCCTAGCCCGCCACCACTGGACCGATTTCCAAAAACTACAAATCTTTTTCGTCCTTGGCATAGTAGTAACCTTGAGTGCAAATTTCATCAAAATCCGAGCGGTATTTATCAAGTTTTAGGCTAAAATTTGCGAACAGACCGACGGAAATGAATGACATGTTTTTTCGTGGATGTAAACGTCATATAATAATAATAATAATAATAATAAAATGTCTTTATTAGGCACATTATATACACTACAACATAATGTGACTCTACGTAGGCGAAGTCTAGCTCTTGGCTACTCTACTTAACCTACCCAAATACTAAATTGAAACACTCAATCAAAGGAAACTTTGACAAGCAAAAGACGCTTCAAAACAACGAGCTTGATAGCTTCCTAGCATACATATATACACACATATATTACGTAAAATAAAATAAAATGTAAGAATTAAAAACTAACTTTTCCACAATTACTACAATGACAAATAAATCTGTTTCACATGCTTACGAAATCTGTTTACTGGCCAATCCTTTATATTGTCATCTAATTCGTTATAAATCAGGATAGCATTGTAAGTGTATGAACTACGAAATAAAGTTGTTTTATACATAGGGATCTCTAGTCTTTTTTTTGTGTCTGAAATCAATGTCTGAATTATTTCGTCTGAAAGCAAATTTCTCATAAAGATACAAGGGGGATCTAGAAGATATGATCTTATGTGTAAACACTGCTATATGGTACTCGCAAGCATTTTCTATACACATCCAACCAAGCTGAAATCTCTTTAAGGAAACATGATCATACTTCTTGAGATTAAATACAAATCGACAACAAGTATTTTGGAGTTTTTGGAGTCTTGCTTTTGTGATAGAATCAAGACAATGATAGAACACAGTGCTACAGTAAAATAAGCTTGGAAATATAATAGCCTCACATAACTTTTTTCTAACTTTAAAATTCAAAATAGAGCGATTGACATAAAAACACTTCAACGTTGCATAACATTTTTTTAAGATAGACGAAACATGCTTCTTAAACCGTAAAGTATAATTAATAATCAACCCTAAATTTTTTGTAGTATTTACGACAGCTAGACGCTCCTTGTCAATTTTTACATCAAGAGAATACAATATAGTGTTACGTTTGACAGCAGGACAAAAAAGCATCACTGAGCACTTATCCTTATTGAGCTTAAGATTGTTACCATTTGAGTATCCTACTATTGCATCCAAATCATCATTAAGCTCATTGATTGAAGTATGCAAAGTGTTACTATTAAAGCTCTTATATATCTGTGTATCATCGGCATAGCACATCACAGAAGAGTTTTTCACAGAGCTACCCAAGTCTATAGTATAAATTACGTACAACAAGGGCCCTAAAACTGAACCCTGAGGGACACCTGATGTTATATCAATCGGACTAGATATAGTGTTGTCTATCTCTACTACTTGTTTACGATTTGAAAGATCTGTTATAAAAAACATTAGAGGTATGTCTGAAAAACCAAAAAACTTCAATTTAGCACATAAATAACACCCCAAAAAAATAATATCTCAATTTATAAATTTTTCGCGATTACAATACTTCCTTGCCCGTTTTCGCATAGAAAGTAAAAGGCACAAAGACAATTCGACATTTGAGAACAACCCCCCCCCCCCCGGGCTGTCAATTTTCTAGCCCAGATTCAGTCGCATGACACTTTTTTCAATTACAAATTGGGACAGTGTTCCAATACTTGGTTTCATTTTTCAAACTCATTTATGATGTCCATAGTGGCTGATGTCGGAAGACATGTCTTACGAGGTGCACCATCGACCTCCGACCCCAGGACCTCCTCCAGCCTACGATGCTGTCGTCCACCACCACAAAACCTCCAAAGAGGACGAGTCTGACCTGCCTAGTTACGAGACGGCCATCAGGCATTTGGCACAGGTTCATCCCTATGATGTGCGGTATACGCCGCCAGAGACAACGCATATCTACAGGTAAGAAATTATAGCTTTTTAGGAACATTGCCTCTCGACACCCTACGGATAAAGGAGCGGTCATACCGCCAGTTCTGGATGTACTTTAAGCGTCAGGTAGTTTTTTGGTAGGTTATTGTAGTGGAAACATCACTTTTTTAGATCCAAGATTGTAGTTACACCCCCTAGCAGCCATTTGAGAAGGTTTTTCTTTTGGCCGCTTTAGTAAAAACTATTTTTCTTCACGACGGATAGGTTCCCAAATACAGTACTTTGCATTCTTAATTGGCCACCCTTACAAAGTTTTGACACGGGATGGGAGCAAAACTAGTTAATAGGACAGAGCCCGATCGCCGACCACCCGTTGGTGTTGAAGGGTCCCGATTAGGCTTGCGAAGGGGCCGGGAAGCATTTTAACACTATGGTATAGGATTCGGCACCAGCCTTAATTTTATTGGTCAATTTCAATTTATTCAACCAATAACAAGCCAGGTGCCGAAATCACTACCGGAATGTTAAACAGTGCTGAGCAAGGGGTCAGAATGTTATCAATTTAAATTTAAATTTACTTACCTTCCGCTAAAAATACGTAAGATAATAATCAACGCACGTTGTTTCCTATTTTACGATATTTAATGATTTTAAAATTAATAATTTGGTTTAGCAATAAGAAAAATTACATGAAAAATTTATATATATTTATATAGGTGAAAAATTAAAGCTTCCGCCTTTTGTTGGGTAAAAATTTAAGCAAGAAGGACTCTTTATACTTTTTTTATTCTCTCTAGCTTTCAATGGTCTTTGCCATCATCATCAGGAGAGTAGTATGTGAGGATGTTGCTAATTGTTGTTTACGTTAAGGATGAGGGAAACACAAAATGGTGGGCATGTGCAATCATCAAGTGGCTTCACGATGTAATGTTTAACTTTCAATTTCTAAAAAAATTTTTAATCTGTTTTTAACTTGTTCTTGTCATACAGCTGTGTGTATTTTATATAATTTTGACCATTGTACCATTTATCCAGCTTTCACCATGTTACTGGGTGTTTCCCTCATGCTTAACGTAAACAACAATTAGCAACATCCTTACATACTACTCTCCTGATGATGATGGCAAAGACCATTGAAAGCTAGAGAGAATAAAAAAGTATAAAGAGTCCTCCTTGCTTAAATTTTGTCGAAGTACCCAGCAAAAGGTAGAAGCTTTAATTTTTCACCTAACTGGTCTAGACGACAATGACCACGTCTCAAGTTATATTTATATATACTAAGTGACATATAAATCAGAACACCCAATTTAAATGGTTTTATTTTAATAAAAATTGGTGAATGTATTTATCTTACTGTAAATAACAAGTGAAAAAATTTTCAGCCTTATCAGTTGAACATTCCGGTTTTTATACTGCTCTTTTTTAATTCACTAACGCTCTAAAAATGAATATTTCAGCCGCCGCAGTAAAGAATCAACGTTGGCGGATTTTGGTTCTTGACATCCTTTACGATCGGTTACGATGCCTAGAGTACGGAGACCTGTACGATTTCGTCAACTTAGTGAGTTTGATAGGGGCCGTATATTGGGACTTCGGGAAACTGGACTTTCTTTTCGGGCAATTGCAGTTAGAGTGCAAAGAAGTGTAGACACTGTGGTTAGGTGTTGTCAGGCATGGCTTCGAGAAGACCGTACGCAAAGAGCAAGGGGCACTGGACGCCGCCGTAGAACAACAGACCGTGAAGATCGCCGCCTAAGATTATTGGCCTTAAGGGACCGTTTCTCCACTACCAGGTCCATTGCAAATGAATGGTTTGCAGAACACGGAAGACCTAGAAGACCTAGGGTTAGAAGGCGACGTGGTGAAAGGAGGAATCCACAGTTTTTTGTTGAAAGACATGTTCATCACACTGTTGGAGTTATGGTTTGGGGTGCTATAGCTTATGGTTCCAGGTCACCTTTAATCTTCATCAGAGGTAACATGAACACGCAGCGTTATATCCACGAAGTTCTAGAACCCCATCTTTTACCCTATCTTGACACCCTGGCAGATCCAACTTTCCAACAAGATAATGCCCGACCACATGTTGCAAGAGTCACAATAGGCTTCTTTCAACATAATGATGTCACATTGTTACCATGGCCACCAAGATCTCCCGACTTATCCCCAATTGAGCACGTGTGGGATATGATGGGTAGGAGATTGCTCAATTTGTAACGTCCTCCTCAGACTCTAGAAGCACTTCGAGAGGAGTTGGTGGTTGCCTGGAATGAGATACCACAGGAGGACATTGACCACCTGATCAGAAGCACGCCTAGGTGCGTTGGAGAATGCGTAGCACATCAGGGTGCATCCACACATTATTAAAGGTCAAAGGGCTTTAAAGCAGTGCAATCATTTTGAAATTTTTATCATTTACTTATTATGCTGCATTAAGTACTTATACAAAATTTTATTAAAATAAAACTATTTAAACTGGATGTTCGGATTTATATGTCATTTAGTATATACGAGTATATATATATTAGTAGAAGCAGTTTAAATTGATAACATTCTGACACTGTTTTCAGCACTGTTTAACATTTCGGTCGTGATTTCGGCACCCAGCTTGTTATTGGTTAAATAAATTGAAATTGACCAATAAAATTAAGGCTGGTGCCGAATCCTATACCATAGTGTTAAAATGCGCCCGGGAAATGTCCCAAGAATTTTGCGTCTTGATCTGTATCTAATGGGTGATTTTTTTGCTAGTATCTTTTTGGCAACACTGTTTTTGACAGTTGACGCGTGAATCGTGTCTTGTGTCATTGTCAAACTTGTTCAGTTTGGTCTATAATTTAACCATGAATCGACTTACGAACGAACAACGCTTGCAAATTATCGAATTTTACTATCAAAATTCATGCTCGGTTAAGAGAGTGCATCGAGCACTGCTTCCAATTTATGGGCAATTTGGTCGACCTACTGAGGGAGCTATTCGGAAGCTTGCGACTAAATTTCGAACCCAGTTTACATTATTGGACATTAAACCACCAACACGCAGGCGTAGAGTGAGGACTGAAGAAAATATTGCGGCTGTATCCGCCAGTGTTAGTGATGACCGTGAAATGTCGATTCGCCGCCGTTCGCAGCAATTGGGCCTCTGTTACTCAACTACGTGGAAAATTTTGCGACAGGATTTGGGTGTAAAACCTTATAAGATACAGCTGGTGCAAGAATTGAAGCCACACGACCTCCCACAACGTTTCCAATTTGGTGAATGGGCGCTGGCAAAGTTGGAGGAAGATCCACATTTTTATCGAAAAATTGTGTTCGGCGACGAAGCTCATTTCTGGTTGAATGGGTACGTTAACAAGCAAAATTGCCGCATCTGGCGTGAAGACCAGCCAGAAGCATTGCAAGAGCTACCAATGCATCCCGAAAAAATCACTGTTTGGTGTGGATTATGGGCCGGTGGCATCATCGGGCCGTACTTCTTCAAAGATGACAATGGCCGGAACGTAACTGTGAATGGCGAGCGCTACCGTGCGATGATAACAAACTTTTTTTTGCCCAAAATGGAAGAGCTGGACTTGGCTGACATGTGGTTTCAACAAGACGGTGCCACATGCCACACCGCACACGAAACAATGGCCCTATTGAGAGGCGAGTTCGGTGAACAGTTTATCACACGTTTGGGGCCCGTCAATTGGCCGCCTAGGTCGTGTGATTTAACGCCGTTGGACTATTTCTTGTGGGGCCATGTTAAGGCTAACGTCTACAGTGATAAACAAGCAACGATTGACGCACTGGAAGGCAATATTGAAGCATTTATTCGTGAGATACCGGCCGATATGTTGGAGAGAGTGTGCCAAAATTGGACCTTGCGCATGGCCATCTAAAGCGGAGCCGCGGCCAACATTTACATGAAATAATCTTTAAACATTAAATTATATCGACCGTTCTATCGACTCGAATAAAGATTTAATCGTCTTTTTCAAATTTTTTGTGTTTTTTTTTTGTAAATCAAATCCTATACCTCTTAAAAAATCACCCGTTAGTAACAAAATTACTCGAGTTGCCAGTTCTGCATGTAGCACAGGTACTGAGGAAAATAGTAAAAAAGCTTTTAAGATGTAAGCGTAGAGTTTGAAAATTCTGATTTCTTTTCTGGCTACTAACTTAGCGTCCTTACACCCATTTCCAAACTTGTGACCGTACTATAATGTATTCCAAGCTTTGTTAGAATCCGTATAGCGGTTATTGAGATTGCGCAGTGTCAAGAAAACCAGAACGACAGGTGTATTACCGCCAGTAATTGAAACGCATCTATTTGTCAAGCCTCAATATTTCTTAGAAAATGCTATTCGGCGTATATCGTTTAGACAGTAAAAATAATAATCTGGATCACCCAGTACAAACACGATTACTCTATGGCATGCCAAACTACGCATTACTCTGTAGAAACCAATAAAAGTTATGCAACAACTTCAGATGAACCAGTCGTCAGTAACCCTCCTTCTCTTTATTCGTATTCCTTGGTAGCCTCCCACCAGTAAATCATAAACAAAAACGCCTATTGTATAGCGGCATGTGTGATGGTGTATCTATCCAGTTGAAGAGTGTACGTAAAGCTAGACATACACGCTAATAATATGCAAAGCAGCCTGGTTTACAAACAATGGAGATTCAGATTCATGCTTTTTCAAAAAGTAATCAAGTGGCAAACCTATGTCTACAAAGGAAGGAGCCTGTAGTCGAGTTAGTAAAATTAGTAGCAAGAAGGATAACTATCCAGCGTTAATCTCGTAATCTAAATGGTTTACATATTTACATTTTAGATGAGACTGAAATTTACGGCTTCGGTATCCTAGCACTTACGGCTTGTCTATTCAGTACCAATCATCCGACCAACCATATCCGAATTAATCAAACTACCTGCTTCTCCCTGAATATTCAAATTTGAAAGAAATATTTTGCTTTTCAAAAGTCTGCAGATATTTTGCAAACAAAGATATCACCACTGGAGAAAATCCAGCGAAGAATGCGGTTCTTTTTATCTATAATGTATTGATCTGAACATACCTTCCAGGATCAATCATGCTTTTTAGACCGTCTTTTGAGCTAACACAACGTTGCAATTTGGTACTTTGGGGGCCCAAAAATGTAAGAGGTATACATGTGCACATTGCTCATTTTTGTACATACATTTTATTGGAGATCATAATTATTTATGGCTATCCATAAAAACCGGATGAGCGCTAGAGCGCTTCTTTTTAGTCAAGGTACTGTATTGTGTTTTGGAAGCATTAAGCTATACCAGATTGTTGCGTCTCCAAGCAGGGGTAACCTCCAGATCTCTCGTCGGAGAAGACATCGCTCCAGCTCACTTGCAGAGATCGGCTCAGCACTTTGAATTCCTGCATGTAGAGTGCTACTTGTGGAACACCCGCGTTGACGTTGAAGGATCAAGAGGAATACTCGTCAATTACGACGGATATCTTGCGGCCAAAGAGGAAGTCAGCAACCCATCTGCAAACCTTCTCTTGGAGGTCATAGGATAGAAGTTTGTATAAAAGCACAACATGTCACAGCTGACCTAAAGCTTTCGTGATATCAAGAGCAACGACATGAGCCTCATCACCACCACTACTGATTTCACTCCACATTTGTGCGACGTACGCTAGGAGGTCCCTTGTTGACCGCTGGTAACAGAAACCATACTGCATCTCGCTAATGAAACAGTGATTATCAAGATTCTCCAGAAGTTCTCGATTTATTTATCACGGGCGTAAAGTGGGGGCTTATGGCCCGCGTCGCTCAATGTGCCAAGCGGGGCCAAGCTCTTATTACGCTCGAGATATGTATTTTACTTTGAGCACTTCATTGGTTTTCTCTTGTGAATTCCTCCGGTCTCGAACCCAAAGTTGCATGACCGAACAAATCAAATTTGTTTCAGGTCTCAAAGCGATTCTGTGATCAACCGACCGCGTCGCAACTCTTGGACTATCAACCCCATCTGCAGGCCATTCCAGCAACTGACAAATGAGGCCTCAAACACGCCTAGGCCTAGTAGCGGTGGGGTACGGCAGCCCCGCACTCCTCATGTCATAAGTTTAGAGGCTTCCTACTTAAAGGTAAGTTTAAAATCATTCCTTTTCGGAAAAAGTATCAATTTATGGAATTTACAAAAAATCTGTGTCTATGGCAGTCTTTTATGACTTCAATGACCTCAATATATAAATGCTAAACAAGGTTTTTTTTGTTATCAGGATCCGAACAATATGAAGATGTTTACTTATATTAATATTCAATGATTTTTCTGTGATGGTTCCATTTGTTTCATTGTTGTTTCATTGCACTATCACGCCTACTGTAGTATAAGCTCTTTGTAATTAATAATTATTTTCTACTTTTTAATTCGGTTAGCTGTAAAAGCGTATTTTTTAGCTTTTTTAAACCATTATTTATATACAATAAAAACTATTTTGAAAAATCCCTGATGATTGATAAGAAATGACAATTCTAAAAATGTTTCAGTGAATTTTACGAACTTATCTTTGCGTGCTGGACTAAGGGCCGTACTGTCAGTCGTACCTACAATTGCAGGACGCCTTTATGGCCTCCTTGATGTTCTCTCCTTTATTAAGGCTAGGGTCTTTCTAGATTTCTACTCTTCCGTGTCTGCGTCAGCGCTCTCCTATGTTTCCTTTTTGAATTGCAAGAAATTTCAGGCTGACATAAATCAAAAGCATGAACAAATTGATGCAAACATAACCTCACAATAGGGAGCTGACACGAAACAGTAGGAAACTATGAAAATCAAAAAGGCCATAAAGGCGTCCTACAATTATAGGAATGACTGACGATACGACGGTAATATGCCTTCAAGCTGGTTTTGGTCATTCAGTCCACTTTATTAACAAACTTTTTTCATTCGACAGCCCCCAGAAGTGTTTCCTCCGACGACTCAACAACATCTACAGCTGGACCAACAGTACGTGACAAATATCGAAAACGACATCGGTGTTGTTATAGCCCGGTCAAACGGTATGTTAGTGTTTGACTACGAACATATTGAAGGAGCAGCTGCCTTACCACAACGTCAACATCGCGACATCGGAAGTACTGATAGGAACGTAAGGATGTGAAAGTCGACAAGTGCCTTGATATGGACTAAGGACCAGTGTTCGGTGGACTATGAAAATATTACTATTGTCAAAATATATAGACTGAAGGGAAGTAAAAGCACTGTCAAGTACGAGAATCTCAACATATTGAACGCCCTGTTAGTCACTGGTAACTGACACTGAACTATTGCAATGTTACCATGTCGTTCATCAGAACTGACACTACATTTAACGTGATTTAACTTATTACTGATTACTGACAGTCATGAGTAATCACTATTTAAAGTCTATTTTATTACCCTTACACTAATTTTTTACAATACCTGCAACTAATTCATGACAAATGTCGACTGGACTATCGCGTTCTGCGCTGTCGATTACTCGACTGTCCCTCTGGTGGAGGCGCCTGAAAATTTGATGAAACTGACGAATTCCAAAGCATTCCCGCGCTTCATCGAAATTCTAGACAATGTCGACCAATACTTCTCGAATGCTCCCGATGTTGCCCGATCCTTCTCGATGATACCGCTGTTGATGCACGGTGGGGTAATTTTGGTTGTCTAAGCGTGGATATTGCGAGGATGTCTCATTGTTACGCCAGGTTCCAGTCACGAGGGCATTACACTAGATTTGTTTGACGTGGAATGTATCCAAATAAATATCCTCTGGCTGGCGTTCAGTGTGTTAAGCCCGCCCGCCAACCTTCCTAGGAATCAACTGTATTTTCAGCGATGTATAGTCTCGATAATGTGATCGCTTAAGTCGAAAGAGCCTTGTACTTTTTATTAAATCTAGTTTCAATAGCAAGAGATTTTTTATCGACACCTGCAACATTAGCGCCCATTCAAAGGGAATTTTCTAGGACCCTCATGTGTCTTAACTCGTGGTTATCGAATAAAAAACTAATTCAGGGTTTTTCATTTTTTTTTGTATTAGCTTATGAAGAAATGCTCTATTTCCTATTTGAGTTTACAGATCTATCGTTTTACTATTTGTTATACTATAAACAAATTTTTTTGTTCAATATGTATTGTTTTCTTGGTGACAAAGTCTTTCCGTACTAAGACTAAATGAATATTCAGGTCTAGACAATATCGACCAATACTTCTCGTATGCTCCCAATGCCGGCTGATCCTTGATACCGCTCTTGATGCACGGTGGCGTAACTCTGGTTGCATAAGCATGGGTATTGCGAGGACGTCTCTTTGTTACTCAAGGTCCCAGTTGAGAGTGCGTTACATCAGGTTTGTTTGATGCGGAATGCATCGAAAGAAATAAAATATTTATCTCCTTAAGTTTCTCGGGATGGCGGCCAATGTGTAAACCATCCTTGGAATCAACTGACTTTTCAGCGATGTATAGTCTCGATAATGTGATCGCTTCAATCGAAAGAGCCTCGTACTTTTTATTAAATCTAGTTTCAATAGCAAGAGATTTTTAATCGACACCTGCAACATTAGCGCCCATTCAAAGGGAATTTTCTAGGACCCTCATATGTCTTAACTCGTGGTTATCGAACAAAAAACTAATACAGGGTTTTTCATTTTTTTTGTATTAGCTTATGAAGAAATGCTCTATTTCCTATTTGAGTTTACAGATCTATCGTTCTACTATTTGTTATACTATAAACAATTTTTTTGTTCAATATGTATTGTTTTCTTGGTGACAAAGTCTTTCCGTATTAAGACTACTTGAATATTCAGTTCTAGACAATGTCGACCAATACTTCTCGTATGCACCCAATGCCGGCTGATCCTTGATGCACGGTGGCGTAACTCTGGTTGCATAAGCGTGGATATTGCGAGGACGTCTCTTTGTTACTCAAGGTCCCAGTTAAGAGTGCGTTACATTAGGTTTGTTTAACGCGGAACGCATCGAAAGAAATACAATATTTATATCCTTAAGTTTCTCAGGATGGCGGCCAATGTGTAAACCATCCTTGGAATCAATTGACTTTTCAGCGATCTATAGTCTCGATAATGTGATCGTTTCAGTCGTAACAGCCTCGTAATTCTCATTGCTGCTGAAAATCTTGATCTGTACACTTTGATACAACTTCATAAGTTTATACGATCTTATTTATTTTTATGGGATCTATGATTACGTAAGGTTTCTTGATTACAAAACCAGACAAAATATATCAGTACTTAAACAGTTGAAAAAATAAAAGCACGAAAAATTAATATACTTTAGGATGTAGTTTTGCAAACACATTCAAATCGGTATCTGTAAATTTTATTCAGCTTCCTCATTTATGAGGGAAAAATCTAAAAGCATCATAGAAACAACGCTTGGACAGGAAATTTGTTGACGACTAGCTATGTAGGAAATCTACAACTTTATCAAGCCTTATTCCTTAGGAGTTTTCATTGCAATATAGTAAATTGTGTATAAGCCTAATATATGATAATACTTATTTATGTATTTTAATGTACATAGAAGAAATATAGATTTTTATAGAAACTACAGTATGTTATTTCCGAAACTCCTCATGTCAATTTAAATTTTTATGACAACATATGCACAAATCGACGATCATGACGTTTCCCACTCATTTTGGAACTACTGTGATGATACCGTTCTTGATGCACGTTGACGTAACTCTGGTTGTCTAAACGTGAATATTGCGAGGGCAACTTATCGTTACTCAAGGTCCCAGTTACGTGAGCATACTCAATTTATTTGACGCGGAAAGCATCCAAATAAATAAAATATATCCGAGTTTCTCAAGATGGCGTTCAATGTGTAAACCGTCCTTGGAATCAATTGGCTTTTCAGCGATGTATAGCCTCGATATTGTTATCTTTTCAGCCTCGTAATTTTTATTGTTGCTGAAAATCTTGATCTGTATACTTTAATACAACTTCATAAGTGTCTACGATCTTATTTTTTTTTATGGGTCCTATGATTACGTAAAGTTTCTGGATTCAAAAACCAGAAAATATATATCAGTACTGAAACAACTGAGAAAATAAAAGCATGAAAAATTAAAATATGGATTTGCAAACACATTCAAATCAATAACTGTAAATTTTATTCAGCTTCCTCAGTGTCAAGGAAACAATCTAAGAGCATTATAGAAATAATGCTTGAACAGGAAGTTTTTTGTGAATATTTATTGTGTGAAATGTACAACTTTATCAAGCCTTCAACCCTTAGGAGTTTTTTCATTGCAACATAGTAAATTGTTTATGAGTCCAATACACGTATAACACGTATTTATGTATATTCGTGTACATAGAAAAAATATACATTTTTGTAGAAACTATAGTCTGTTATTTCCGAAACTCCTCAAGTCAATTTAAATTTTTATGACAACATATGCACAAATCGACGATCATGACGTTTCCCACTCATTTTAGAACTACTTTGATGATACCGCTCTTGATGCACGGTGACGTAACTCTAGTTGCCTAAACGTGAATATTGCGAGGGCATCTTATCGTTAATCAAGGTCCCAGTTACGTGAGCATCATACTAGGTTTGTTTGACATGCAATGGATCCAAATAAATAAAATATTCATATTCCTAGGAATCAATTGGTTTTTTTTATTGCTGCTGAAAATCTTGATCTGTGATCTGTACAATTTGATACAACTTCATAACTTTATACGACCTCATTCGTTTTTGTGGGTTCTATGATTACGTAAAGCTTCTTGATTACAAAATCAGAAAAATATATCAGTACTAAAACAATTGAAAAAATAAAAGCACGAAAAATTGAAATACTTTAGTATGTAGTTTTGCAAACACATTCAAATCAATACCTGTAAATTTTATTCGGCTTGAACAAGATTTTTCTTTATGAATAACTATGTAGGAAATGTACAACTTTATCAAGCCTTATTCCTTAGGAGTATTCATTGCAATATAGTACATTGTTTATAAGCCTAATACATGTATTTATGTATTTTAACGTACATAGAAAAAATATAGATGTCTATAGAAACTATAGACTGTTATTTCCGAAGCTCCTCATGTCAGTTTCAATTTTTATGGGGACCTATGCACAAATCGACGATCATGTCGTTTCCCACTCATTTTAGAACTACTTTAATGATACCGCTCTTGATGCACGGTGACGTAACTCTGGTTGCCTAAACGTGAATATTGTAAGGGCATCTTATCGTTACTCATGGTCCCAGTTACGAGAGCATTACACTAAATTTGTGACGCGGAATGCACCCAAATAAATGAAATACATATATCCTTAAGTTTCTCAGGATGGCATTCAATGTGACGACATGACGGCACTTAAGCCTGTTTGTGTTATCCATTCCATTCCTCCTCTGGGCACTTGTTCCCAGGATAAACTTTCAAATACACGCAGGCGGGTATAAAGATCGCATCTCGGATCAAGTAGTGCGCGTCGAGAAGCTAATTACAGTGTCGCTGTGCTATTGGGCGTAGTGTTTTAGCTACCTCAAAGATGGGCAATAACAGAGTATTCCCTTTGCTCCACTGTACTGCATGGATTTCTAACCATAATACTTTTATATTCATAATCATGATGCATTGATTATATATCCATATTTTTATTAATGGTACGGACTCAATAATTGCCTACAATAATAGAGAAATTAACTGGTTCATATAGGTGTACGCCATTAGCCTCTGGGGGTTGTTATGGTACTTTCGTAGCTCGATTGCTGAGTTCAGGTAGCTATGTTAATAACTGCTCGGTTTCCTCTATCAGGCAAATGTCGGAGCGCTTGAAATGTTGACACGATGGCTTTTGGCCGATGTGGCATCCTAAGTCTGAAAGACCGGTTAGCTATCATCTCTTGGCAATCGCTGGAGTCTGAATGTATATCATGGCAGGATGTGTATAGCGATTGTTACTTTAAAGTTCCTCGGTTAACTTTGGATCAGAGGTAACGCCGGAGCCTTTGGATATTGACATGGCAACGTGATATCCTGGATCCTGGACTGCTTTTCGGAACACAACGTTAAACTCAGAATATCTGTCCATATACCTGGGTATCAACATAAGCCGCTGTGTGCTTAAATCCTATTTCGAACACTTAGGCTGTTGTGTGCTTAAATCCGAAATGAAGGACCATGTGTCCTAGAGGAACTGTGTGCTCCCGTCCTTAAAAAGATGCCGCACTATTTTATTTTTACAAAAATGGTGCGCTCTAGGAAAAAACACGAATCATTATTTGTAGCAAATTGAAGATAAAATTCGAAATATTGCGTGTTTCGAAAAAAAACAGTGGCGTACTATTTTTTTTTCTAATAATGCCACTAATACCCTTTATCTCAGCCACTGGTATACGTTAATTTTAAGTAAAGACTTTTGAATGTGGACAATACTTAGGTAAATTCACATACCAAATTTAAGTTCATTCCAGTTGACGGTTTTGAAGATATTAAAAAATAAGACAGGGATTTTCCCAAGCTGCTGGAAGGAAGCTATCATTTTGCCTTTGGCGAAGATAAACAGCCCCTCTGAGTATTCTCACATACGGCTCATCAGCATGTTGTGTTTTCTGTCGAAGGTTTTAGAGAAAATTGTCTACATACAGCTGGCCCACTATTTTGAACAAAACAATATGATTCCTCAATATCAGTCTGGTTTCCGTACAGGGCATAGCACAACAACCGCTTTATTAAATATTACGGATGATATCATCAAACATGTAGATGATCAGATAGGAACAGCTCTGATTCTGCTAGACTTCTCTAAGGCTTTTGATATGGTACATCATGGTATTCTCTTGAGTAAGCTCAAATTTTATGGTCTCTCTGACAAGCCACTACGTTTCTTCGATTCATATTTGCGCAATCGTACCCAGAAGGTGAAAACACGTAAGGGATTTTCTTCGGCAAAGAGTGTGGCATCTGGCGTACCTCAAGGCTCTGTGTTGGGACCATTACTCTATCTAGTTTATACTTTTGATCTACATACTTGCCTTCAGCACTGTAATATTCAAACGTATGCAGATGACACGCAGCTAACTCTGTCTTTTGATTCTTCGGACATGCATAAAGCATCATATAAATTGAATGTAGATCTAGTTAACATTGAAGAGTACTGCAAAAGACATTGTCTGAAGATCAATGCTTCAAAATGTTCTACTTTGCTATTTGGCCCAAAACAGTTAGTACAACGGTTAGATGGCACAATTGTTCCTAGTCTTAACGAAACCCATATTCCTATAGTGGACCATGCGAAGTATTTAAGGATCACCATGGATTCAGATTTGAGGTTTAAACAACATGTTACGCATTTATCTCGCTTAACATACATGCGTTTGAAGTTATTATACACCAATCGCCATATTCTGAATTTCAAGACTCGCAAAAAACTGGATGAGACTTTGGTTCTATCGTTAATAAATTATTCAATTGCTGTTTACTTTCCTTGTCTTGATTACGAGACTAGATATCGAGTACAAAAAATTCAAAATAGCTGCTGTAGGTTCGTTTGTGGTCTGCGAAAGTTTAGCCATGTGTCTAAGAAGATCAATGAGCTTAGATGGTTGAGGGTTGACCAGCTTTTCACATATAACTTACTAATTTTAGTACAACGAATAAAAATTAATAGGCTACCTACTTATCTACCAAAAAGGCTGGTACCACGTGGGGATCTTAATTACAGGAATCTGAGACATAACTCTGACTTCCATATACCTAGTTATAGGAGCAACATTTTCCATCGTAGCTTCACCTACAACGCTGTCAAGGTGTACAATAGTCTTAATGGCAATTACAAAAAGATGGGAATACTTGCTTTCAAGAGAGCCTTCTGGGGTCTGCTAGCCAAGCTGGCTGATATATTTTTTTTTGTCTTTATTGTTTTTTTTTTGTTAGAGCGGGCTATGTGGAATAGATCAATCTATTTAAGCTTAATTACTGTATATATTATTTAGTCGATTGCTATTCATTGTTATGTTTTTCGTTTTGTATGTGTTCCTGCGCTGTGAGGTTAAGTGGTAGAGTAGCCAGCTGGCTAAACTTCGCCTCGCAGTGTGGAGAGATTAATAAAGACATTGTTATTATTATTAATATTTTTAAACTTCAATACTCCATATCTTTTTAATCAAGCCCTTGAGGAAAAAATGCTACATAGAAGATCCCCTTAAATGTGGTCCTGTGTATGAAATTTCATTTTTGGTCACGACTTGTGAATCACCCTGTATACAGGGTTATCCAAATTAAGTGTCCACCATTAGTAACTTTGTTATTAGTGAAAATACAAAGTTGTTTGAATTAGCAAACTAGTAGCATTTTTAACGCTGGTAAAAATGAGAAATAAAAAAAAACAATTGAGAGTCGTTATTTTGATTTTTTTCAGTAAAATAACATTTTTTTAAATGGAAACCCCTGTATATTATATTTTTTTCTGTTAAAGCATCAAATTTTAAACAAAAAAGCTTACAATAACTTTTCTCCTAGGTTACA